TTACTTACTTACTTACTTACTTCCTGTTCGCAACATCTATGAAGTCTTTGGATGGAAATAGCAGTAGCAATTCAGACAAACGATGTTTTCATGGACTGGCCCTCAACCCTAAGCCCAGAACGTGCCGTACAGGAGCTGTGGCATCGGGGAGTCAGATGAGCTGCTGCAGAGCATATGTCAATGATCGTTTCCCAACATCCGGATCCGTAGCTGCCCAAGCTAAGCCACAGCCTTAGCCTTTTCATTGCCCCGATCCAAGTCTTAAAGCTCGAATTTGCACCGGAATTTGGGAAACGTGCAGCAATGGCGCCGACGACTGTACAGGCGCTCGGGCTTTTGATGGCAGCTGTGTCTGTTGGCAGGATGATTGTAGGCTATTGAATGCGTTTTTGCCTGTTGCGGTGTTCCTTGCAGGTATATCGCTACGGAGCCATCGTGCGCAGACTGCTGCTGCAGAGCCTTCAGAGAGTTTTGAGGCGGGTGTGTAGGACGCGCTGATCTGCAAAGGGGCCTTTGCAGTTTTGGAGCCTGCCTAGGACCTAGACTAGAACTAGCACTAGGATAGCCCTTGGAGTCTGAGCAGGCCGAAGGAAGATGCGAAATTAGGGAGGAATTGTTTTGGTACGCCGGATGTTCGGTGTATGGAGGAGCAAGCGCTCGTCAGTAGCCTCAGACTTTACGTGTACAGTGCATGCTTTGCATTCGACCAGAGCTCAAGACGCATTTATCACAGCTTTGCTGAAAAGAATCTTTACAAACTACCCTAGATTCTGTTACCGATTTCATTCCGCCGGATGTGAACCTGCCCAGGCCATCTTTTGCTTCCATGGTGCGAGATGTTGCCGTAGCTGCTGTACTGTCTCTATGTCTTTTCGAGACCCTTGTCGTAGGAATTTTAGCACTTCTTCCGGCTTCTGTTACTGCAGATGGGCGCTAGCAGCTCGTGTGCCGAGCTCGTCATGCCTTCGGGGAAGGATGCCATCAGGCGAGGCTTGGCAACTCAGAGGAGACAGCAGGTACTTGGCAGGTACATGATAGGTTGCGATCGGTTCAGGCTGCATAGGGAAGCTGGTGGCGGTCCCGTCAGGCCATGGGCCCTCAGCGACGCGAGCTCCGACAGCGAAGTGGAAGGGGAAGGAGCAGAACCACTGCGCTCTTTGCCGGACCCTGCAGTCATTAAGCACGTGACCGTGGAGCAGTACCTGGAGCTGGCCCAGCGCCTGCGTGTCACAAGCAGCGAGCGAGAGAGACTTCATGGAGAGCTCCAAGCTGCGCGGCGGCAGCTTGAAGAGTCGAGCAGCGCCCACAGCGAGTTGACAAAGCATCACGCGAACGAATCCCGCGATAGGAAGGAGGCAGAGGCGCAGCGAGATCAGCATGCCTCCAACTTGAGCAAAATTCGCGAAAGCTTTGCCGTCGTTAGCGAGAGCCAAGAGACATTGAAGGCAGAGTTGGCAAGTGCGAAGGCCAGCGAAAGTCGCCTGCAAAGCATGGTTGAGCGGCACAAGGATCAATTTGCAAGGCTCCGAGCTGAACATGAGAAGCTTGTGAGCCTCATGGCTTTGCAGCGCAAGCAGATGCAATTGTTAGGAACCTTGTCCTGCCCGCAATGTGCGCTAAAGGCCAGGGAGATCGGAGCAGTACGTGACTTCTTTGAAGAAGCCGTCCAAAGATAAGCTGGCTTCCACAAGCACTGTCGTCGAAGCATTCTGATGCATTCTGCAGTCAAATGGCAGGGAGTTTATGTTCCGCTCTCGGTAAGGGTCACGTTCGTACGGACGAAGCTCGAGCTTGCAAGCCTTGAGCCCTGATTAGAGGGATGTCTCATGCGAGCCGCCGTTCAAGCATCAACTCCGCAATCCCAAAGCTCTTTGGGTACACTGTACCCAGTTCGTCGTTGGCTTGGGCTGTCTCATGTTCGGGCATCAGCATGAAGTATCCGAGGCTACACTGCAGCCACCCACAAGCCACACCTTTGCCTTTAAGAGCATCTGCTGAAAGCCGCTTCCGAACGACGGGTTGTTTCGTGATGCCCACACAAACAGCGGTCTCGGCCGTGTCGCGATGTCGACCAAGTCGCTGGCGCTCACGTCACCCGAAGCAAGTCTAGTTGGGTTCGTTTTGTGTTCCGTCTCTGGCGCAGACTCTGTGATGGCGAGAGTGCAGAGGCTCACCCAGCCGAAGACCCTGGAGCTCCGATCCGTGTGGCAGGATGAGCGCGGGGCCCAGAGCTTGGGTCGGAGTCGCTGCAGCTGCAGCCGCTGCCAGTGTGCTGAGGACTTTGCGAGCCGGACAGCTGCTGGTGCCCCACGGTCGACTCCCAGCAAAGCCTACTGCTTGGATCAGACTCGGAGGTACAGGTGGAGTACAGCAGTGTCCAGCCCCAGGATGGCGACATGTTTGCTTTGGGCTCAGCATCAGACGTTGCAGAGTTTTTTGGGGCTTAGAGCTTTTGCTAGCGAAGCTCCCAACAGCTTTAGGTCTAACTAGGGGTTCGACACCTGCGCATCACGGCTCGCCCAGAACTGCACTGGGCGGTTCACTGAGCTTGAGCTGCCACACGTTCTCGGGGTCGAGGGTGCCGCTCGGCAGCATTTGCGGAACCTGTGCCTTGACTCCGTAACTGGGGGTGGTTTCCGGCTTCGAGTTCAGTTGCACAGAGTTTGAGAGCTTCACGGGGCAGCGATGACGGAGCTTCAACGACCTCATTGCCTCAGGTCGGCGTGGTGCTAAAGTCTCGGTGTGAGACTTTTGAGGAGGGGGCCAGGACTCAAATGCTGAGAGTGTTGAGGCATGCCATGGGAAGTAGAGTTAAGGTGGGATCTGCCTGAGAGATGAAGCTTGGCACGGCATTGCCTAGGGTCTGGCCTCGCTGCTGCCTGTTTCCAATCCGAAACCAAGACCAGCATCCCCGATTCAAGCACTGCCACGCCACTCAGGAATGCCGATACAAGACAGTTGCGATTGATTCGAGGGCTGACGATTCCTCAAGTTCAAGAGGGTGTGGGAGTTCGGGTTTTCTGATTTTTGTGTGCTTTTAGGTTCCGAGTTTTTGAGTTGAGAGTCTTGCGGTTTAGGGTTTTGGGGTTTGGGGATTTTAGTGTAAAGTGTGATTGTAGGAGTCGTTTGCATGCGTATCGAAAACCTCCTTGACCTGATAGACAGACCCATGAAGGATTTGTAATAGCTTTGAAGAGGATCGCCTTCATCTTGAAGAAGTTCTTCAGCGACGAGAGTCTGGAGCTCGGGCTGAGGGTCACACGCCTCACAGAAGCATAGAATCGGAGGCAGCACAGCACAGTGCTGTTTCCTCGTCTTGCGCCCGCCGCGACTTGAAGCCCACTGGTAGTTTCAGTTCATGTTTTGGTGACTGCTAGTGTTCCACAGTGCAGGCCATGGCTGCTGGCAGCGCCGGCTCATTCTGGATGAGCACCGGGCAATGATCCTGAGAGCGCCTTGAAGCACTTCAGCTCTGTTCGCCGTTTGCTGGACAGCCAGGATGACAAGATGTAAGGACTGTTGGGTGGGTCACGGTGAGTCGTGACCGTGTAAGAGCCGCTTGCATCAGGTGCCTGCTGTTGGGGCCACAGCTTTGTGAATCGCTGCCGATCAATGCCGCCGGAGTTGTGTTGTGGGTTGCGCGGCGCTGCATCTCGTGAATCATGAAGCTGAAGAGCCATGCACGCAAGTTTGCACCAGAGCGCTGAGGTCGTTGGTCTGAATCAAGTTGCAGCTTGCACCACATCCACTGCCGGGCTGGCATGGTTTGTCTAAAATTTTGAGGGTCTGATGGTATTGCTTGTCCTCCCAGTACGTTTCACTACATTGGAGCCTGCTTGGTGCATCTTAGTGCCCTAGTGCTGTCGAAAATAACCAGGCTGCCGCCCTCGCCTTTCTCAAGTACTTTCCTCCGGCATCTCGAATTATCGTGTCTGCACCTCGGGGCATTGATTCACAGCCGAGTTCACGAAAACATGGTCGTAGCTGGGTTTAAGCAGCTCCCACGCATTGGGAAAGCTCAACGGGGTTAGCTTCGCTTTCCGAAGCTTCCCGAGCACTGCTTTGCTTCTCGAAGCTCGCCACTGTCAAGTGCACGCTATGTCGCTGTTTTCAGGGCACGTGGACGCCTCGCGATGTGTCTCAGTTCTCAATGCGACCTGTGCAAGACGTGAGCTGCTTTCCCCGCTCTCTCGCTCGAGACTGCACGCTAAATAAGTCGCTTCAGATGGCTCGACGACCACGGCAGCCATCACATGACCCAAAGCTCAAATCTGCAGACTCACGTCGCAGAGGACGGCAGCCTGCGGCGCTGTGGGCCTCGCCACGATGCAGCTTGGAGCTCTCCGTGGCCATCAGGCACCTTGACCACACAACGCCTGCTTTGATGACTTGGCTGCTAGCCCCGTCTCGGCATGGGGGGATCATGGTCGGTTGATGGGTCTTGTTTGGCGAGTAGTTGTAATGGAAGGCGGTCTTGTTGTGGAGTTGTTCAATCAAGTTGTGCCCGGCAGATGATTGGACTGGTGCGTGGCCCTGAACGGGCTGCGTGGATTGCCAAGGAGCTGAGCTGCTCTGCTCCGACCGAGATCTTCTGGTGTTTTCTATTCCACGATGTGACAGGAGCTCGTGGGGTGTGGTTCCATTACAGCTCGGCCCCTCAGCAATTTTTGCAGTGCCACAAAGCTCATGCCAACATGGGTTTGGACGAGCTGGGGGGGGGGGGCTAGGTGGTCGACACCGAGTCACCGGGATGGATCAGGTGGCCCGGCCGAATGGTAGAGGAGTCGTCTTTTTTTGCGGGCGTGCGTGCGAGGCTCGCCTGTCCTTTGACGGGCAAGGGCGAGTTGGTCGCGCCTAGCCCAGACTCTTGGCAGATCTTGGCAGCACGGGAGTTCACCGGCTTTGGCCTGCGGATGCCTGCGGCCTGGCCCAGACGAAGGAAACAGACGCCGGTGCTGGCGCCGACGGGCTCATCGATGGGGTCGGTGGCGAAGTGTGAAGACCTCAGCTTCCCAGAGTAGGCCAGCAGGGAAGCCTCGATGCTGTGTGCGATTCGCAGAGGCTGACTTTGGCCATGGAGGAGCATGGCCCCTTCTGACTGGAACTCATGAAGCCTTCCAGAAGCCTTTGAATGAATGAAGGTAACCAGCTTCAAGCCTGGGCCGTGTAGAAGCTGCTAGCATGCAGTGCCGAGAACATAGTGTTAAGCTTCCGTGGTAGAAGAACACAACTATCGCGACCTGCTCGTTTGTTGTCTCCTCTGCAAGAATTTCATGAACATGAAGCTGGGTCTTTATTACAGACTCAGAGAGAGCATCAGCTTGAGTGGTGCGCGTCAGCTTCGAATGCATCTCCAGAATCGTGCCATCACCCTTTGAAGCAGTGAAGCTGGCAGCCGTGTGGGCCCCGCTAGAAGAGTCTTCCGTAAGTCTCCACTTGCCAAGGGAGCCAGCCCAGTTTGTCGCACCAAGCTGTTCCGTAAGAAGCCTAGCAAAGCATTCCGCCGCGAGGAGCTTCTCCGGGTGCGTGCCATCGTCGTTCGGTGCTCCGGGTGTCACAGAAGCGATTGTGGCCTATCCAAAGGAAGATGGGTTAGGACTCAGATGCATTGGGAAAGCATGCTTCAGGAAAGCTGGCAGATCCTCAAAGTAGTAGTGGCCACTGCCGGTCAGAACCAGAGTGACCCATAGTTTCCTGGAGGCACTGTTAGACCTACTATGGCGGGCAGCCGGCAAAATCGAGACTCGATGGAATCGAGGGCGCATTGTCAATGTGAAGGCGATCCAATTACCAGTCAACTGGGACCACTGTCAAGCACCAAGCTGCGGTAATGAAACAGTGTATGCCAGCGCCATATCGCCCAAGTGTTGATGGCACGCTTTTGCACGTGAAAGCGACAATTGTTGGCCGATTGAAGCGCACAGTACGTGGTTTTCAATAAGCAGAACGGTGCAAATTCTCGAGTCGCAGAGGTACAGCGCTATTTTGGAGGAGGATGCTGCGCGAGTCGATGCCGCACAGCAAAAGCAGCGGCTTCTGGTGCCTTGTCCGCGCGGGTGATCTCAAAGCGCACAGTCACAGAGCTCTACCAACTCTACCTATCCCCTGCAAGACGTGCAGGTGAAGGACGGCAGTGTAGAGGATTTCATGGCTTCCCTCGATGCGATCCAGCAAGTTGAGGCTGGGTGCTTTCGAAAACGCAGCTGGATCATCTCCATCTGGCTAAGACAGGGTGCCCGAGCCGGTGCATGCGCGCAAAAAAGTCCTCCCGGGTAGGCAGCTTTTGCCCTCATCGGGGACGCGAGGCCACGATGCTAAGGAAAGTCCCACCTGGCGGCTCCTAGCGGCTTGAAAGCGGTGTGTTTTTTCGAGCATCTCGGGTGCCAGGTATCGGCCGAAGGCCTGGCACGTGGCCAGCGTGAAGGAGGTTGTGGAATGCATGAAGGAGTCCATACTTTCAGTGTTGCAGCGCTATACAACCCTTTGCCGCGCACATCACAGGACCAGCCAATTTGGACGCGCCATGCGCGGGAGGCCCCAGAGACCTAGCGCTGAAAGATCGGCGGGACAAATGCAGCTCTCGAAATGTCAAGCGCCGCTCTCCAAGGACGCAGGTCAAGCCCGGCCGAATTGGTCGGATCATATGGAAGTTCGAGTGACAGCTCCTTCCCAGGTTGTGAGATTCCCACGAGAGAGGGATAAGTGCGAGGACTGCGTGGCCCAAGGCCAGGCGGCGCAGAGGCAAGGAGGAAGGCTGTGGCTTCCGTGCTGAAACATGGCACGGATCACAGATCTATTCCACTTGCCCCACTTGCACGGCATGTGATCAAAAAGTGGTCGTGCCTTGCCCAGCTTTTGACGGAAGGGCCCGGCAGGGTGTGCAGACATTACAACAGCATGGGGCACTGTTGGAGATGTTGTGCGCTGTCTGTGCCGGAGATGCTGTTTCAAGTTGTGAACAGTACAGCATGTGGTAAGGTCAGGGAACACTCAGTTTAGAAGATCGACTAGTGCGCATTGATTATGGCAAGAAGCTGCAGGACCTGCAAGGACTGGTTAGAATGGCTCGCTGGGGGCCTGGCTGCCGCGGCCCAGGGAGACCATGTACGCCCGCGCCAAGCTGCCAGCTTTTTCTGCTTGGGAGGCAAGGACTACGAAAAACGATCTTAAACGATGCCCTGAACCCAAAGATCCTGGTGGGCCTTGTAGTGGACGCCCAAGGCTTCAGACAGTCACACAGTCAAACACTGCTGCAGGCCGTGCTGTCTGGTGCACAGGCGCGGGTGCTGTGTCAGAGTCTTTCAGAAGGGAAGTTGCAAAAAGTCTCCAGACCCCACATCTCGAAGCTGTTCTCGTAAACGCAGAGTGATACATGCACGCTGCGGTGATGTCTGTGTCATCTCGTAGAGACGTAGACACTTGCATGTCCACTGTGGTGGGAGTACGATCGTCCTGTGAACACTCTGGAAGCCATTGGGACTATAGTTCCTGGAGGTGTTTCGCTGCTCAATGACGAGCCTGTGTTGGATTCAAGCCTCATCTGACGGCCATCCCCTTCCCCGGAGGGGAGCAGACTGGCCTCGGCGGCACTCAACGTTTTCGGCTTCGGCCACAACCCGTCAAGACCCGAGCTTGATAATTTCACACAGGAACATGCGTGGGACCTGAAAGTGCGATGACTGCCGAGGTCCTTCTGGATGGGAGCGTTTGAAGAGGTCCAGAGCTCGAGGGGATGTTCTGTGTTAGATTGTCCACGAGGAGCAGGTGCGAATGGCAAATTGCAAGTCGCAGATTCATGGGCTGCAGGCCAACACACTTCTTGATCGATACGCGCAGCAGGTCTTCTGGCTCCACGCCACCAGGTCTCCGCTTAGAGCCTTGAGTCTCGGTGATACGATGACGGTTTATGGCCTTGGAGATTGGAAGCGGGCATCTGCGTAAGTAGTGCCAGACCACAGCGTTTTTTGCGGCCATCGGATCACAAAGGGCTACGACTCGGAAGCATACATGTGATGTGAGTTCTGCCCAGACATGGCCTTTTCTGGGCTAGGCTTGGCCACACGGATGCGAGCGTGCGCGCCTGCGGTCGGACGGCAGGTGCGGAATACTGGGTGCAGCGAAGGCCGGAGTTGCAAGAAGACGCGGCAAGGGCCAATTGATATTCATACGTTCGATCGGTATAGTCAGCGGAAGCAGCACAAGACGGCACCGACTCGGAGACAAATTTTTAAGTAGGCGGGCATTACTTGCAAAGTGGAATCTGAAGTCGCAACGAAGACCAAGACGAGGCAAGGAGTGTACTGCATGCTGCATGGCAGGTTAGGCCTGTTTGTTTCCAGTAGGCTTCATGCAGCAGACTTAGCAGAGGCGTGTCTAAAGCAGAACTATCATCTCCCTTCAGCTTCAAACGAAAACACGCTGACATAACCACGGCGCACCTGACAGGGGCCCTGAGCAGCCGCTGCACGAGCGAGGGATGGATTGGCACTTTGACAAGGACGGCCGCCTGGGGCGGGCCTGAGCAATCAGGAAGCCTTTTTCAGCTTCGACCGATATCGTCAGAAGCTCGAAGCGACGGGGCAGTCCCGGCAAAGGAGTAGATCCCTGCATGGATTCAATTGCTAGACTATGGTCGAAGTTGGCAGGCGCGAAGCCATTCAGGTCGAATTGATCAGCCTGATCCTGCTGACAAATCCAGGACGAGGACTTGCTTGACCAAAAGGATGTCGTGGTAATGCCGACGGTGGGAACGGTGACCTACTTGAGTAGTGTGGGTGCACCGCTTGTCGTCACTGCCTCAGAGGCCTCCAGTGCCAGCTGCTCCAGCTGGAAAGCCCGCAGAGCATGCCAGGTTCTGTCGCAGCCGATGCTGGATGGACGCGGCTTTCTGCTGCCATTTTCGGCCAGTCAGGCAGGGGAGGGAGTTGGGGCATTTTGTCTGTGGTCAGCAGGATGTGGTGAAACCATGCTGGGAGTCGCATCTTTTATGTTGCCCTGCACTTCTCCATCAGGTCACTATGTTCCTCACCCGTCCCGTCTTCGGCAGGCATGCGGCTCGGCGGCAGTGTGCACAAACATCGCTGAATAAATGCAAGTGCAATACTGGAGGTGGCCTTCGATGGTCAACTGCTTCACGGATGCCCAGCGGCTCTTGCTGAAGCAGGTGAGAGGCTGGTCTGTCCGAGCTTCAGGGAACACATCTTGCGTCCGGTTCTAACGCTAGCTCGCAGTTATGGCCGCCGCAACAAATGGCAACTGGTGCCCGACATTCTACAGGACCCAGCCGTAAACCTGAGAGTCCCGGCCCTCTGCTCAGACTGTCTCTGGTCGTGAATATCTGGTTTGAGCACAAGCCGCTCGGAGTGGTGACCTCAGATGTACAAGGGTTGCCGCTTCCGGGCTTCAGTCTGGCTGTTGAGTGAGCTGCGCGACATCGCGACATGCCCGCGTGCGGAATCATATGCCTCATGCCTCTTCACTAGGTATCCACGACAGGCCCAGGAAGCTCGAATTCCAAGCTGCCAGTCGAGGCCGAGGCACATCTCAGCGAGACTTGAATCGACTTGCGCGTCTCGTGTGTTCTTCCGTGTCAGTGTCAGGAAGTCTTCTCGACGGCTACACCTCTCAGACCAATCGACCAAGAGGCCGGTATGCAAAGGATCCGGACGTTGTCGGAATCTTTCTAGGATTGATGGGTTGCTGAGGTATGTAGTAAGAAGTCTTCGTCTGAGGATGGTCCTGGTAGCGCTTCGGTGTTGGGTAGGCCTCGCCCTATGTTTACGCAATATGCAAACCGGATGCATATCCCCGAATCCGCAAAATAGCATTGGCCGAAGTCGGAAGGCCCAAAATGAAATCCGACCAAAACATTGGGGACGAGACCCAACCCTTAAAGCTTCCTTCTCTCCAGCCCTACAGCAAAACGACAAAGACTCCAAGCCGGCCTACGGCCCAAAGAACGATGCCTGGACTGGAACCTTTCACTTGAGAATCTGGCACAAGGCAATGCACGGTAGGTACTGTTTACAAAGCAGCTCAGAATCGCAACATGCAGTGTATGGATATTACAGTATACACTGTTCAGTCTCAGTTCATGCGGTGAACAAACAGGGTGCATAACGTGCTCTGGCACGACGCAGAACTGTTCGGGCACATGGTAGCACAGCACAAGGCCCGAATATGGTTTACTTGTGGCACAAAGCCATAGAATCCCTAGCATTATGATTCATTATGATATGCGATAGAACGCCATGAACTGTGGCGACTCAAAGCTGCGGACAGTGGTGGAGACAGTAGTGCAGAGCATGTGCTGCGACACACTGGCAGACCACGTTACCGATGCACCTCAAGATAGACAAATCCAGTTGAACAGATGATGAGACAGAAGCAGAATGTGAACCATTGAGCATTCCAGAAAGCAACAGCCTGACACCCAAGCGAAACAGTATTTCTACTCGCAGCTAGTTTGACGTGCAGGCGCGCACACACACACACACATGCTGAGACGCAAGAACATACGTAGTGTGTAGTAGCTGCACCCGTTTTGGAAGGTGATTTGAATCGCAATGCCCAAGCTCAAAAAATGTGTGCACGTGTTTTCTAGCTCAACCAACGTTATTCTAAAGCCAGTGTACATGCTACTAGGTCACATACTAATACGAGTATCAAGATGAAGCAAGAACAAAGACGGCTGGTAAGCAGCGATTAGTTGATGGGAGTCTTGCGGTGATAGTGCACAGCAGTGCATGCAGCGCATGCAGCGAGCTTGCGAAGGTGCCTCGATCCGGCAAGAAACTCACGGTCGACTTTGGACCTTGGCGTGTCCATCGACTTAGCTTGACTTTGGCATCGGGATTTCCGACCGTTCATGTGCGGATGCATTTGGTTGACCATGTGCTGCCATGCTTCCCAGGTTGCAACGTAGGATGAGACGGATGCGAGCCATCCGGGACTTGTGATTCTGACCATCCAGAGCAGTGACAGTGAAGGTTCAATTGAAAACGGGGTCGGCTGTAGGTGATCACTTCGGGTGGTTTTGACAGGTCGCAAGGCTCCTACCTTGCAGGTGAGGTTTCACGTGTTATTCTAGGCTTAGTTCATGGTGGCACAGTTGCCTTCCGCGCTGCGCACCTCAGATCGCTGGCTTGCGGATACCCCCGGATGTGCAGGTGCCTTGGACCGGGACATAAGTTAAAAAATCGAGGGTACCCCGCCTTCGTCATGAAGCTGCAGAGGTGTGAAGAGCCCTGCATCAGCTGCGTAGCGTAGCTTAGCAACCTCCTGTGTGGCCACAACTGTGTTCGGCGCATACCCATATTAACCCCAGCATCCCTCAGCTTGAGTAAAGCTTTCACCTTCAGGCACCAGAGAGCTCCAGCCTTTGGGCCATCCACCATCCCGTCGATCAGGCGGCATCTTCTACATATATTCCGCTGTTGCTCGGAAACTGCAGCAGTCAGTGTCGCGATGTTGAAAGAATGTTCGGTCTCAGGTGCAATGTTCAAGCCTTTTCCTTTCTGGGTTGTTCCCAGACCCCGGAGGTCCACATCGGCTTGCCCGTGACGAGTGGAACAAGGCCAGGCCGCCGGGGTGGGTTACTTTGGCTTGTCGAGGGCGGGGGTGCGCGATCTGTGCAAGCAGGAAGGATAGCACCGCAAGCCTTTCTGGCTTCGCAGGCACAAGCGTAGACACAACTCTCCATGCTCTGCTCTTTTGTGCACCATCACCATGCCTTTGGGTGTGAAAGCAAGGTTTGGCAGTCTGGGACCGGGTAGCTCACCTACTCGTACTCTGCACTTCTGTGTCTTGCTCGGTTGTAACCTACCGAGATGCTGAAGCCTAGCCCTGCCAGTTTCCACAAGGGCCTTATCGTGCAAGTGGCGGACATAGCATAATGGGGCTCCACTGAAGTCGCAGTAGGGGGCTTCTTCGACAGGCCGCGCAGAAGTCTCGGCGCCAAGCGACAAAGGATGGGTCATTGGGATTCATGTGGAGGAATTGAATCACGAAGGGGGCGAGAAGTGAACGGCTTCCGTCTGCTCTGCGCGCATCGGAACTGCATGTGGCACTGCACGGCCAGTTGCTTGATCGAAGGACGAGCTTTCGCTGATCCGGACTGCCGCCATCTCAGCGACTGAACCGGAACGATAGGGATTCGGTTTTGTGGCTTCGCGGTGGTCTGCCCTTCAATCGGGGTTCCCTGGATAGCAGCTTGCAGACCGGAGCTTCGTCTGACAGATAACCGGTCCTGATTCGGTGTTGGATTCAGTGATCAGCAGGTGAGCCTTGGGGCACAAGGAACAGGGGGCCGCCACGCTGTGGCTAAACGAAATTGCGGGAGTGAGAGTTTGAGTCTAGATTCGAGAGCGTTTACCTGCTAGGACCTCTAGGTTCTTGTGTTAGCGGTACTACATTGAAGCCAGTTTTCCTCGAGAGTCCGAATAAGGGCACTTTTCGACTCCGGTTTGGGAGGAGAGTGATGGTGTGGTACAGCTACGGCAATGCCCTGAATGCCTTATCTTTGGCCATCTCGAGCCTGGCATACAACCGTGACACTTTTGCAGATTCCATTGCGCTGCAGCAGAATCAGATGTACCAGGAGAAAAACTACCATATTACCTGGATTGCATCTGTTCGTGAGGAGATGCGTGACTTTTTGACCATCTTCGTGGGGAAACTACAAAACACAGGCGTGCTCAACACGCTACTGTTCGGAATATCGACGGCATTCCTCTGTGAGGGTGAGCTGGACAGCGAAGCGCCGGAATCGTTGGTGTATGCATACTATGGATCCCTCATTGTCAGCATGCTGTATTTCGGGTGTTCCATCCTCTTCTGCTTCATTGGGGTTTCAAGCGCATATGCTGAGAGTAAAAAGTTTCTGCTCAAGTTTGTGCCGGACGTTCACGATGCGTACAACTTCGACTACATCTCCCAGCTTCTCGAATGGGAAGGCAAGGGTGAGGCACTTCGTGTGCCTTTTGCCATGGAATCAAGCCGTCTTGCAGAGAAGAAGGAGCGTCAGAGGCGCACAACAGCAGGCACACAGAAGGACGCAGACCCTGACGACTTCTACGAACGCTTCGATGGAATGATGAGAGACTTCAATGAGCCGACCAAGCTGGATTACCTCCACAAGGGCGGGACCAACACCCGCTTCTGGGGAGTCAGCCCCACGAGTGCGGAGTGTGACGAAGAGATGGCAGACACACACGAGAGCAGTTTTTACGAGGTCATCGGCAGATACAATTTGCTTTGGGAGCCCTGTTCTCTAGCGAGCCATGATTCTATGATGCTAGGAGTGTTCGCGCTGTGCCAAAGCTTCGCATACTTCCTGATTGGACGTCACATGGACCGTTCACTTCGGGACCGACTGGGAATGTATACCACCATGACGATAGCGGGACTCGCTTTCGCGGGGCGACTCTCACGGCTACTGACAGTGCAGTCGGAGCAGTCGAAGCTTGAGGTCAAGAACCGAGAAGAGAAACACGAAGACTGCATCGATCGAGCATACAAACTGAAACACTGGGTTCTCAAGCTGCTAATGTTACTTGGGCCGGCGATGGTGACCAGTGGTGTCTTTTTGAGTGATGAGATGTTGCTGCTTGCAGGCTATGTGTTGCACGGATCTCTCCATGGCTACTTGGCATTTTTTCTTGTCCGATCTTTCCCAAGCCTGCCGAAGCAGAAGGGCTTGCCACCGCCACGGGAGGAGAAGCTACGGCGCTTAGCCGGGAAGGGATACGGAAGCAGGAAAGCCGAGAGTGAGCCTGGGCTGGAGGCGCGGGAGTCGCCAGAGCCGTTGCTTCGCCAGCTCCTCTTCGAGAGTGAGAAGAAGTCTGTGCGGACAACGATTTTCATGAAGAGACTCTTGCTCAAGAGCCACATCATGGCTTGCCTGCCCTGGGCGTGGCTGACGGTGGGAGCTTTGCAGGATGTGGCAGTTGAGGCTGACACAGGTTCGGAGGTCAGTGTTACCGAGGTGAAGGTCACCTGGGCATCGCATGCCTTCTTCAGTGCCCGTTCGATGACGTGCTCGCAAGGCGGCCAAGTCTGGCTTGCCAGCGACGACGGCGTGTTTGCGATTGCACGTGGGGCAGACGGCGGTGGTGTGGAAAGTACCGATTGTCCAGCTTTGCCTTTTGATGAGAAAGTGCAGGATGTTTCCACATCGTGCTCTGAATTTGGCTGTTGGCCTGCGGTGCTTGGAGCAAGTGGCAGGCTCTACAGCTGCAATCCCAACTCGGAGGGAGCCATGACTCCATTCAAAGAGCTGTCGGGAATCTCCGGTTTTGCTGTGGCCGCGGGTGAGGGTTTCTACGCTCGAAAGAACAACAGCATCCTGCACTTTCCGAGCCGAAAGTCGGTGGCTCCTCCACTGCCGGGTCTCGTTGGCTTCGACCTCCTTCCCAACGCTGGAGGGGAGGACCTCTTCCTGTTCTCAGCAGGCAGGGCAGCAAGCATACAGCTGAGGAGTGCAGCAACTGGTGAGCTGCGGAAGTGGGCGTTGCCTGCCCAACTACCCCCATTGCGTGCAGCTTGTGCCCTCACCCCAACCGCGGTGCTGGCAGCAATGCAGGATCCAAGTTCGGAAGACCATCCGCGGCTATTTCGCTTCCATTTAGATTAAGCACTTTTAAACATCGCTTTTTGGCACTTTTCAGACTGTGACATGGCTCTGACAACCCAGTCCATTCTTTACTGCACATCGGCCAGATTCTCGAATAGTGAGGCAGAAGTTGTCAGAGCCTTGTGTTGGAGCTTTTGCTGAGGCTTGGCTTCGCATCTTCTTGCGACTGAAGTCTCAAATCTCGTTAACGCTTAACAGGCTTTCTCAGGCGCCGAGATTCGGCCACGGATTCGCTCGCAAACGCGCAGACGGAACACGTCGAGGTCAAGAGTCATCAAGAGTCAGACCGCATTGCTGCAGAGTTGTGGCCTGGGACGCTTTACGCAGGTTTTCGAGGTGGCTCGGGATGTGCGTTCGGGAATCGACTGTTGACAGGATCCTCGTAGTGCTGGTGAAGTTCAAAACCCAGTCTTCATGTCCGGAAATGTAGCTCAGAGAAATCTTTGCACCAAGCACCTGCAACACGAAAAACTAATGCCACTTCAAACAAGCTCAACAAGCTCAACAAAGTATTGCTTGTGGGATACTTGACTGACCCTTTTCTCTGAATTCTGTCTGGGAACGGTTTTCCTTTTGTGAGCTGCGTTTGTCCTGAGTGTATTCTTAGTTTTGCCAGCGCATGATTGCTAGGAGTTTTTGCAGAGTCACACGTTGGAGCCTGCTTCTGAGTTGGTGGTCGATTGTCTGCCGGCTTGTTCTGATTCTGAGTCTGTGTTACTTCCGGAAGAACAGCTGGGTGCGGGAACGCCAACATGTCAATCCTAGCATCGAGCATCCCTGTTGCTGGTACCCGGAACGCAGGTTCACTCTGAGCAGAAGCCTATCGGACCATATGCGAGCTCGAAAAGGTGAGATCCAGGGAAGCTAGCTGCGTCCGATGGAGCGATGCAGAGCCTAGTCTCAAAAGCTTCAGATTTTTGAATGCTTCGTTGCCCGATCTCAAGGTTCCTGGCTTAGACACGAACCCAAAAGGCCGGCTAACCTGTAGACATACGCACCCACCCACACGCACACACACCACCCAAACCCAACCTCCGATGTCGAGATTGTTAAACTCCAGTGTTCCGAGTGTTCCGTGAAGCCTCTAGACGATGCCCTGACGGTCACATCGGTCACATCCAGGAAGCTGATGCATTGAGAGGCAAGATCGGCTGCCAGCCCGATTTGTGGGAGCGAGTTGCAGTGTCATCCCCCTGTCATGTGCTGGCAGGCCGAATTGTCCTGGTCTGCCTTTGGCGTCAAGATGGCCGGGGGCTCTCCACCAATGTGGCTAGGAACTCCGTATTAAGACTCCACAAGACTCTTGAGCCTCCCACCAGTTACGTCTCTGTACATCTCCAACGATTCGAGGTGTTCGTACATGTAAGTGTCAAGCAGCCGACTTTTGCCTTGCCTTGCCATGAGAGGCAGAGTGTTTTGTGGCCTGGAGCTCGCAGTGACCTGGGCAGGTGCCGAAGGCGCACCACTGCCTGGACTGGCTCTCCGAAGCGACGGCCAGGCCGGGCGTCTCAACACAGTTCGCGCTTGGGAGCCCAGGCTCGGAGGACCCCTCTCCACATTTCACGACCTTACGAGCCCACGAAGCTTTGGAACCTGCAGTGCCCTATAAGCCTCCGATCTGAATCCTCCATCCCCCGATTTCATCATGCCCCCTGTTCGATCGCTTCAAGCATGTGGACATCATTGGAGATCTTTCGCTGAGATGGTGAAGCAGCAAGCATTTCAGTTCTTTCCCTTTACGGACCGGCCCCCCAGTTAAATTTCTGCAGTCTGGTGCTGGTACGACACGACGACGAGGAGTTGGAAGAGCTGCGCGAGGAGCCGAGGGATGCTGCCAGTTATTTGGGACCTTGAAAGCAAGACACGCTTCTACTTCTGCAGAGGACTTGCTAAAGCGCCGTGACACTGCCATCGTTGCTTGTGCTTTGGAGATCTTGGTCTCAGCCACCGCCCTACGTGGTGCAACAGAATCTGGTTCGGACTGCCCAAGCAGTTCCCCCGTGCGCTACGAGGTGGCCAGCATGGCATTGTACGACATCAGGAGGAGCATCATTGTTCCGATCGCCAACAGCGCCTGGAGCCTGAAAAAGGCCTCGGGAGCCTCGAGCCCCTATGACTAGCAGCCGCAGAAGCCGCAGAAGCCCAGGTCCTGGCCGTCCTGGCAAGCTATGGCCTCGTTGGGGCACTGGCGCTTCAGCTGCCAAAGATCCAGGCGACTTGTAGGGTGGGTTCTGGCAAGACGGCCTAAAGTATGCAAGCCCAAAGCTGCTGGTGCAAGATCCGGAGATGGAGGAAGGTCACGTCATATGAGCAATTACATCTACACCTCCAAGTGCAGTAAGTCGATTCTTGCTGGATTTCGTGATTGAGAAGTCTGTCCAGTACCCGGTTGTCGGTGAAAGATGTCAGATCTGTTCGGCTCGTCAGGGTTTCCTTCCACAGGAGGTCTGAATAACTGCAGGCATGAGGCTACCTGCAAGGAAGTGCCTTTCCTGCCTTGGAGGTCCATGGTGTAGTCACAACCGGCTTGCTCGTCGCTTGCCTGGTGAACTTCCTCTGTGAGGCCTTTGAACAGCTCGCTTCCCCTTCTAAGCGTTTAACCCTAAACCCTCCGCAGCTTTAGAAGCGCCCCAGAGATTTTTCGGAAGGCGCTGCTCACCCATGCGGGCCTTGGCACGGACACCTTGCCGGGATGGCTGGTGCTCCTGTTCCTCTTTGCCCGGAACCCTTGACCTTCAGTCTGCCCGGCTGCTTCAGCCGTGGGCATTGCCGGAGCCCATCGGTAAGCTGTCGTGGGCAGCTTGCATGATCATTCTTGCATGGGTTGCAGAAGCAAAACCATGACCATGAGAAGGAAGCGGCCCTCCCCAAGCATGACTTCGCAGGTCCCATACAGCATCAACCTGGCGTGCTCCATTTTGAGCCTGATGCTGGGTCCGGGGCTCACGAAGAGGTCTATGGGTTGAACAAAGGGTCTCAGGTGTCTTCGCGGCTGTGCTGTGTTCTGGAAGCTGCAGATTGCCTCAAAGCAAAGACAGATTGGTTCAGGCCATGACAGACATGAAGAACGAACAGTTTTTAAAGACGCCGCTGGCAGTCCCGTGGGTTCATCACAAATACAATGACTTTGGACTTGGCGACGTGCTTGTAGAAGGAATCTTGCGCAGCGAGGCCTCTTTGAAGTATGAAGCATGGACTATGATAATTTTGGTCCCCTTTGAGTCGTGCGCTTTTCGGAAATACTTAGTTCGGCTTTCCAGTCGCCCAGATCTCGATGGCCCCAGGCCAGCGGCTGTCAGAGTTTCTCGACCTCGAGGCGGGGATCATGGCTTTTGAAACGACACAAATCTGGAGCCTGGTTCTCCTCCCGATTTTTCAAGGAGACGTCAACCTCTGAGACGGCCGTCCCGGCAGATTTCATGTACTTTTGCGCATGACCAACAGCCTGCAGGATGACAAAAGCGGGCTCTTGAGTGATGCTGGCCAGGTGCTCAGAATTTGCATTGCAGCTCACAGCATTTATCTAGACAGATCCTGAGGCCTTGCTGAACAGGCACAGTTGGTGGCCGGCGAGGACAGCTGGCTGCGTTTGTATCGATGCCTCCTTCGAAAAGCCAAGTTCTTTTCTGAAGTGTAGCGCCACGGCAGGAACGTTGCTGCGCCTGCATGGAGCGCAGAAAGGACTATAGACGGCCATTTGCAGTAGAAGCAGCCCATCAACCTTGGTACACACTATCACTATCATCACAGCAACTACTTGTTGTTGGTTCAATATTCGGCTTTTGCTAGATTGATGTCGATGCATGTTCTTCGGGTCTTTGAACATGTGCTTCCAATGACTGCTATGCATCCTGAAGTTCGTCGCTTGGTTAGAGCACACCAGGATGCAGTCATAACTCCGTGCGGCCACCGGGCAGTTTGCATGAGCTGCGCGACGATCTTGAAGGCAGTTTTGGGGTGGGAAGGGAGCACAGCGCCTTTAAATACCGTCAGTGGGGCATCTGAGAGCACTCCGCATCCAATGTTTTAGATCATATTTCTGTTCACATGCGGGCAGGCGCGAGGCCGCAAGTGTGCAGAGCTTAGTATGTTGCTCAACGAGTTGATGCCTTCTGAAGGCCATTCACTTTTTCACATCACCATGACCTGGGTTGTTACATTCATTGACACTGGATCACCTCGACCCATCATCTCATGACAGCTCCCAATAGCTCCCACTTTAATGTCAATTACTTTTCTGTGAATAAACCCACAACGCAGTGTGTATGCTAATCTTCAAGTATATATGGACCTCCTCTGCTTCGTGGAATGCCATGCCACGCTCAACGCGAAAGCGCAACGCGGCTTTCAAATGGCCTACGTAGGTTTGGTGCACAAGCTTTGCAAGCCGAGGTCCGATTTGTCGCCAGACCATTGATCAGGTGATCCGAGTCGGAGCCCCTAAAGTTTGTCATGCTGCACTCTTCGCATCTCTTCCTGGCGAGGTTTTTCAGCACCTGAGGTCTTTGATTCCTGACGCGCTGCAGAGCTGGCCACTACAGGAGCAGCTCTGGCAAAATTGCAGGCTGCGGCTACCTGGCGGCTCGCTGACAGACGGCAAAAAGCAGATGACGAAGGGAATCCAACAGGCACCCGCTGTCATTACAGAGACACTTGCGCACACGGAAACTTTGAGGGGAACCTGCGGAACGCACGTCGTGAATTGGCCTCGTGTAGCGTCACGGGAGGCTAATAGGAGGCAGCAGGAGTGAAATCGCAGCAGCAAAGGAGGGCTTGTGGCGATTCGGACGTCTTCTGTGCAGCTTTACGCGAAGAGCTTTTGCACTTCGCATTGCCTACAGCCAATATCGTGCGGCCGTGGAGGCTTGAAATCAGAAGTTAGCCAAGAAGTGTGAGCCGATCACCTTCATGCAAAGCTTTCTAGAATTTCTTGAATTCCTACTGAGCAGTCCACAAAAGCATTGAAATCCGCAGCTGCCAGCATGCGTCGGCCGATGGATGGCACTGATAGAGATCGATCCAGCTCCAGAGGTGCGCTGCGCACCCGAGTCCACGAATCAAGTGTGAAGATTTCAACCTTCTGGTTGAGCAGCGGGGCAAAAGCAGCGCTTCACGGGAGCACTTTCTTCCCGCTCCTAACGCAAAATGCAGGGCTGCGCCATGCTGCGCCGCGCAGTGGATGCCCCCGTAATTAGAAGGAGCAGAGCGAGACGGACACATGTTGGATGGGTTTCGCGACAGGCTGTGCGTGATTTGACCCCATGCAGGTGATATGGCCCAACCCCCTTTCCTCACCTGCAGAAAGAAGGAGAGCGAGCCGAAATGGCTCGGGGGTGATTCCACCCTGGAACGACAGGCAGTCCTTCTGTCAGATGTTGAAACCTGCACGGCAGGCGCAATCAGGACCGACATGGTAAGCCCAAGTCCAACGACAAAACATCGTCAACCGTGCGAGTCCCAGTGCAGCCAGTTCCGTCATGGTTGCTTGCTGGACGCTCATGTCTCCGAGAGGGTTGCCCTTGAGAGCAGTACTTGTGCCCAGGCAGCGGACCGATGTACCTTGGTTCGTAAAGGGGAGATCGTGACCCTCTGAACCCGGCAAGCGTAACTTCGGCAGGATTCGCCCCCTTAATCGTAGGCACAAAATCCGCCCCAAGCAGCACCTCTCCAAGTGATCTCGACGCACCTCAGGTCCAGCGGCTCCCGCAGCCCTTCAACGGTCTCCCTGCTGGGACCAGAGGCCGCCATCAAGAGCCACCAAGAGCCACAGAGCTGGGAGGGGGGGGTATGGGGGGGTCTTGGGTCGGTTCCCTCAAAACGGACCAGGCACGGGGCAGCCTGAGCCTCTCTCGACTGGACTCGCCGGTCACGACTCTGCGACCGTCGACTCCAACGTATGGTGCCGGCTCTCGGGTGTCAGTTGCTCATAGATGCCGAGCATGATTTCGACTGCGGTGCATGCAGTTTCCATGGAATGTCATGGAGAGATCTGTCATTGTGTCCTCTTTTGGGGATTTCGAGAAAAGTGTGAGCAAAGTGCCAGTTCTCGGACTGCTTCGATTCGGTGCCCCAGCTAATGCTTCAGCAAAGTAACCTTTCCGCCAGTTGAAGAACCCAGTTGTCGAAAGGGGAGGGGGGTGTATGACGATATATAATTGAGGATTCCTTGAATTTTTGCATCCGCCTCCGATTCATTTCGTGATTGTCTGTCATCTTACATTGGATCGGGTGGTGAGCCTAAGAATAGAACTCGACACTACATCGGATCTGCAATTGTTGCGAACATGGTCGTTGAAGTTTGTTTGGTAGAGCTGCTGCGCAATTCTCTGGCTGATCTCTGGAAGCATCAGCAGCGTCTTGCAAATGGTTCGGCGAGGTGCCGGGGACAGGTCGAGCACAAGGTTGGATTTGAGGCACATTGTTCCCAGAGAACGGTGCCCTCAAGCGTGGCAGTCGAAGAAATCGCTACTGCTGCTCCGTGCAATCGGATCAAGTTTCTTGCATGCAGCAGCAAGCCAAGAACGAACCCTACGTTCCGGAAATGCCTGGTGCAGTCGCACGGACCTCATGCACGGCTTGTTGGATGCGGAGGACTTAGTCCGTGCCAGCCCTTTGACCTTGGAGCTTGTCCTTGTCGAGTCAGCTCGACCTTCATCGCTGATCTCAGACCTCCACAGCTTCGCATGCACGGCCGCATGAGTACCTTTGGCCGACATGCTTTCTGAGGTGGGTGAGACTGAGATCTCGTCGCTGCGCTCCAGCATCGAGGATCATTTTACTGCATAATTCGGAGACTGCGACCCATTTCCCTTGGACGCAGGAGCTGCGGTCGTCTGTGCGCGATCTGCAGCGGCAGGCGAAGCAGGCAGGTCAGTTGTGGCTTCATGTGGCTTCCGCTGCCATAGCGTTTCTGAAGTTGAGGAGGTCTTCGATCAGATTTCCGGAGAATGTTCAGGCCCCGCGAACTTGGCGCAACGAGCTGGAGACCGCTATTGACGGATGCCAGGCGCTGCTGCTGCAGATTATGCCATTTGGGGGAGTTTAGAGGACATTCTTCTGCTCCTGGGGGCGACGATGGACTTCGAAGCGGTAGAGGCATATCTTAACAAAGCTAGATTTTAGGAATGTCCTCTACCTTCACTAGCAGAGCTCAATAGCAGAGCTAACGCAAAGAAGACATTCTTTGGGGGCTGCTACTCCTGCAGCTTTCCCGGCAAGGGATGACCACAGGAAAATGACTAGTGACCAGCATCATTTAGCAACTGCCATTAAGAGCGCGGGGCCAGATTGCTGGGACATGTGTAAAGATCGGTACATGAGGACCCGATGAGACAAAGCTCATTCGTACCCGATACAGCTTGTAGAGTCGACCGTAGAAAACGCAGAAGTGGTCGCCCCCAGACGCAACTGCAGCACTTCCCCAAGAAGTATGTCTACGATCAGAAGTTCTCCCACTTTGTTTCTACAGGTTAGATTACTGAGGATAGAGCCATTGACGAAGCAGCTCACGGACTAGATTTCTGATGTCACTAGTGTCTTTACTTGAGATGTTTCTTCTCTCTCCCTGCAATGCCTGGCGCTGCATCGGCTGATTGGGTCACTCAGGAAGTGATGCAACTAAAGAGCCTGCTATGGTGAATCTTCCAATGCTTCATGACTTAAGGCCTTTCGGCGCACGAAACGCTGTGGACCCTTCACGAGCGCAATTACTGTTTCGACTATGGCTTTTTCTCTCCCTCCCGCTGTCTCCCGCTCTCTCCCGCTCTCTGTCTCGGTGTCTTTCTGTCTCTGGCTTCCTGGCTGGCTGGCTGGCTGGCTGTTGGTCACCCAGGAGCCTCCCATGCATGTACATGTGGATAAAGCGGCATTCTGGCTCGTGCAAGCAGCATGGCGAGGAAACTCAGCTGTCCATACGAAGGGAGGGCCATCTAGTTGGCAAGTGTGCTGCTAGCCATGAGCAAAGACATGCATCCTTTGTTTTCCATTTCTTCCCGGTGCTCAGCCATGGCTTGGCCACCATTCGATGAACTTGCGGAGAGCAGTCTTCGCAGCAGTCGGAGTCGGCACCCAGTTGCAGACTCTATACCGAAGCACAAAGAGAACAAGCACCGACCAGGCTCGAAGTACTGCCGCTGGCTTTGCTGTCGCAGAATCCGTGTGGCGCTGAGCATCGGGAAGGGAAGTTCGGGTTTTGCGCTCGGCAGGCATCGCAGCACTGCATGCCCCTGGAGCAAGATATTCTATATTGCTTTGCAAACTCACTTTGAGTTTTCGTGTGGGGTACGGAGGCACAGAGCGTGGGACAAGCGAGACCTGTCAACTTGGGCCCAGGATCGGCTCACCTCGATTTCCGTGGTCGCACGCAGCCCGGAAGTGATCTCTGACATCTTTCGGGGCTCCTCAGTTCCTTCTTGCGTGCTCTGCAAAGACTCACCCAGTGCAAAGTGACTGCACCGGCTGCCACGCAAGGGCTTCTTGCGCTCGAAGCGTGCCAGCCAAGGTGGTGACCTCTGCTCTTCAGGAGTATCAGCAACGAGCCAGAGCCTCATCGCATATATTGTCATCCCACTTCATACATGGCCTTACCAACAAGGCTCTATGTGCAAGATATGATGTGTCACTGTTTTCGGCAAGGTTCTGTGGGCAAAGCAAAGCTGGGCACGTGATTGCCCGGCTCCTACAGAGATGCTTGCCTTGTGTGCCACAGAAGCAGTACCTTGGAGAAGCTGCGGGCCATGCCGATATGTCTGAGGGCCGGAGATCCTCTTCGTAGCTGGCGCGTGGAGCTCGGAGGCAGGTTTGGAAGAGCTTTGGCATTGCTTCTCGCGTCAGCTCTGACATTGCTCGCTGTCGCCATGGAAAGCCGAGATTCTGCCTAGGCCTTGGGTGCCAACGTGTCCCTGGGCATAGAATCTTTGCAGGCGCCCCGGCAAAGATCAGGTTTTGCAGAGCGTACAACCCTACGTGAAGGGCAGTCAGGGCTGCTTGTACAATTCGAGCTCTCGAGCAAGAAACGTCGCACCGCCGGAGGCAAAAACAGGGAATTGGGCCGAAGGGCCTTTGAAGCTCTCTCGAGCATCCCTGCACAGAGCTTTGCATGTGATGCAGGGCTGGTCGCATGCCTTCGGTACTGCATTGAGGCCGTGCAGTGATGATGAGGAGCGTGGAGTCTGCTGCAAGGCATCCGTCTAAGATCAAAGTGTGCATCACAAAGGCATGGCATGGCTCTGTTTATGGCCTCTCTGTACCTTGTAGCCTTGCAGACCATCCTGGGCCTGAAGCTGGCTCTAAAGCGCTTCCCGGAAGCCCAGTGGCACCTCTGGCATGCTTCAAAGCTCAGATGCTTCTTGGAAGCAGAGCTGTGCTGGCAGGATTGTGCGAGCAGTCGCCGATCTCTCAGCGCAGAAATCGTGAGAATGTGTAGCGTTGATGGACAGCAGGAGTAAGTGCCCCGTTTGCTTCTCCTATTCTGGGAAAAACTGATGCCATGCTGCTGCCTGCCTGAGGATGACACCGTGGTCTTTCCAGAACAATTAGCAGCCGAGTTGCAGGTCTTCGATGTGGACGCCTCGGGGCGAAGCAGCCGTGCAGCCTTTCCTGTTCTGAGCCAAGTCAGCCAAGTCCAGGCCCGGCGTTTTGTGTACGTCGGTGCCCCATCGATCACTCTCCTGTGCCATATGGCCGCGAGCCCATCTTGTCTCAAAGGTGACAGCTTTGGTCAGGGCCCTGACCTGTGCCGAGGCAAAGTTTGCCAAGCAGTGCGGGGAGCTTCATGCGGGTGGAGGAGGCAACATGTCCCATGTGACGTGTGGCGTGGTTCTGTGGAGTGTCGGTTGAAGGGACGATGCTGAAGCCAGGTGGCATTGTACTGAGCCGACCCCTGGCCGAGTTTCTCCTGAACCTCGAGGACTTGTTTCTCAAGCTTTGCAGGCACAAGGGCTGCGAGTTTGAAGCTGCCATGAACTGCCACCTGATCACCTGTGAACAAAGCTCTAGATGCTTCAGACACGCAGAGCCGGCCAGGCCTAACTCATCAGCTGCAGCTGTTACGGTATGTGAATATTGGAAATATCAGCAGCATCAGTAATTTTATTTTAGTATCATAGCGATATGTAACGAAGCTCCAGGATGCAGAAAGTCAGAGCTTCTACGCTAGCAATCGGCGGGTGAGTGAGGCATGACGATGCTTTTCTGGGTCACTTGCTCCGCTACGTGCTGGACGTCCATGTTATGGTGCGAAGCTTAGACGTCTGATGGGCCTCATCAAGCTGTTAGCCGGGACTCTTAAACACAAGGCAACAGTAAGATACAGAAGTAGAAGCAACACAAGACAACTGGCCGTAGGCAGAGATGCGAGTAGCAAGGGTTCTTTTTCGAGCGAATCTTCTGCCCATGAGACCCTCAACCCACACCAGAACCTTGCAGCGTAATCCCCAGCCATTATCCTGAACCACGAAAGCCGGAGACTCGAATCCTAAACCCCCACTCTTAGACTTGAAATCTCTGGAAACGTGTCACGGGGACACGAGGGAATGCTGAGATCGAAGGGGGATTGCCAGATCGCCAGGATGTATGCCACAAATGAGAAGTACGGAGGTGGCCTAGCACCTGCCCAATTTGGGCTCGGTGCTGTGTTTTCGCAAGACGTTTATGCAGTCACCAAAAGGCCCCCAAAAAGAACGACTTGACCTTAAACCTTCAACCCCATGAAGGGGAAAGCTGCTGGGAAGCAGTGCCAGGCTATCGAGATCCCCCACGGGCCCGTGCACTCCCCCGGGAGCCCTGCGCTTGATCGAAACCGGATGTTTGAAGCAGCGAAGTAACGCCCAACCACCATCTGTTCATCCACGCCGCCTGTCTTTGAATCCTTCCCCTAAACCCTAAACCGTTTCTACGCCTTGCATTTAAAACATGTCTGTAAACCCTTCCAAATACTCTCCTAGAAACTTGTCCACAAACATCTTGTCGTTGGCAAGCTTCTAGCCCTTCTGTAAAATAAGCCCTACTGCCCCCGTGTCCGAGCGGGATTCGGAGACATGACCAAAACGCTTCCCCACATGTACTGGCGACATTCAGACATGTTGAGGCAAAGCTATGCAAAACTCAATGCTGCACTACTTGCACAGCACCAGGACGTGCCGCATCCACCGAAAGGGTTGTCGAATCGGACAGCTAAGGTGCACAGAGCAGAGCCATGACCGGGCCCGAATTGTCACGACGCCACACGCACAGTGCGATCTCGCGGGACGAAAAATGAATACCTTAAACTCTGGCGGGATTCAGACATTCCGAGGCTAAAATCAACGGCGCCGAACACGTAACGCCCGGACACGTCGGTATGACCAAGAGGTTCGTCATCTCGAGGCCAACGTGACTGCGAACGCATTGAAATCTACAATGGATAGCGTTTATAAGCCGGCAGCAGGGTTGTTGTTTCGAGGCCAACCTGGAGCCAACGTGATCCAGTTTGCAATGACTCGCGCTTTGTGGAGATGTCAATGACAGCAGAAGAGCCCTTCACCCATGTTTTCGGGAACAAGTCAAGAAAAGCCTTCCAAAACGCTAAACCCCTAAAGCTTGAAGACAAACCCCAAACCGTAAACCCTAAAGGCCCTAAACCTTCCACAAACCGTGGATTCTGCTGACACGGCGCTCAAAAAACAAAACACCCAAACCAAAAGCCTCAACCCCTAAACCCAAACCGTGAAGCCCTAAATCTCAGCCGTGGAGGCCCTGCCCGGAATCCTGCAGGAGCCTCGTTTTGAGCAGCTTCGCTCGGGCCCTGGGGGCGGGGGGTTGGGGTCTCGGGTTCAGGGCCTAGGCCTAGAGTCTGAAAGCCGTAAGGGGGGTCTGATTGTAGGAGTGTGTCTTTGATTCGAAGATATTTTTGGCTTTCTCTGTAGGGTTTCGAGGTGAAGGATTTTGGGATGTTAGTTTCATGCTTTCAGGATAAATGTCGGGCTTGCTCCCTTTTTTGTTTTGCTTTAGGGTGTTAGGTTCTAGATTTTTGAGTTTTCGGTTCTAGGGCTTGGTGTTTTTAGGGTTTGGGAGCTCCGGGTTCTGCGGCTTCGTGCGGTTCCGGGGTTTAGGGAGTTTTTGTTTTTTGGTAAGGGTTTGGGTCAGTTTTGCTTCCTGGGCAAAGGGTTTAGAGCTTAGGGCTTGATGGTTTGAGATGTTAGGCTTTTAGAATCTTTTAGATTTGTTGTTTATGGTTCCAATTTGTTTAGGTTTCGTGGACTCCTGGTTTAGGGCTTTCGGGTTTGGTTTTGTTCTTTGGGGGTCCCAGGGCTTAGAGTTTTAGGATTCTCGGTACTTGTTTAGAGTCGTAGGCTTCATGCCTTTTGATGGGTTTTCCAGGTCAGTAGGAGTTTCGGGCTTTGGGCTCTAGGGTTAAGAGTATTGGCGTTCTAGGGTTCAGTGTTTTTTGTTGGTTTTAGGGTTTAGGTGTTGGTTTATTGCGGTTCTAGGGTTTAGGGTTTGGAGGTTCCGAAATTTAGGGTTTAGAGGTTTAGGTGTCTCGGCTCGAGGTAGTTTTCTGCCTGTTCGGCTCTCGCCGTTCTTACAGATACTGCTATACCCGTGCTCCACCCCGGTGTGGTCGCGACTTCCCGAGTACTGCGGCCTGTACTCGGGACCCTGAGGGCGGCCTCAGGTTTGTTACAACTGGTCTTGCTGGTATCCTGGCACCCCTTGTTGGCAAGGAGTGGACCGCAAAGTCCATCGGTGTTGTCTGCTTGCTCCTGGCGCAAATTTTGCAAAGATCGCACGTCTCTTTGTGGAAACTCTGGACGTGGATCAACATCTGGGAAGTCATTGCTTTGCCACTTCTTTGGGTGGCATCGGTGACTTTACAGCTGCCTGTGCCTACAGTCTGTCAGTCTGCTGTTTCAGCCTCTGGTCGGTGTGGTGACGGTGCGAGTCATCGGCCTACTTCAGTGACCTGTCTCCTTCTGAGTTGCTTCTGCTGATGCCCGCTGGGCGGCCGTGTGACGAACATCATGCTTCTGTTTGTTTTTTAAGCCCTTGTCCGCCTGGTTGAGCTCCGCTGGCTGTTAGCCTCGCGCTGCTCCTTGGCCGGCTTTGGCTGGCTCCCGTTGAGCGATTGCCTCTGGTGTTTCGCTCCGGGTCTGCCTCCTCTTTCCGTTTCACTTGTATGTTAGGGGCTGCAAGTTCCCCGCTTTTCCAGGCTGCACCTCGGTGCTTTTGAGCCGTCTTCTTTAGCACAGGACTTCGGACCTCTCGCTGCTCAGTTCAGTTCAGTTTAGAGGTTTAGGGTTGAGGGCCTCGGGTTTGGGTTTTGGCATTCCGGTTTTGGGGCTTGGTCTTTTTGGGCTTTCAAGTGTCTGGTTTTGGGGTTTAGCATTTAGCGTCGTGGGGTTCTGGGCTTTCACTGAAGGACTGGAGGTTTTTGGGGTGGAGGCCACTAAGACTAAGAGCTCCCGACCTAAACCCAAGCCCAGATCCTTGCACTTAGATGGGTGGGAATTTTTCATGCGTTTATGACAGTGTTGTGACGTTGATGGATCCTTGGCATACTCCCCTTCTACAGCTGAAGAGCTTGAAGCGTCTGGGCTGTCGGGTCTGTGAACTTGGCAGGCTGGTCTGGACCCGGGCTACCACCTCGATGCCCGTTGCCACTACCCCCTTCAGCTGCTGGGGTTGCATCTGCACATGCCTTCAAGTAGCATGTCAACTGAAAGTCGTGTTGTACAGCGAGGTCTACTCTCCTATGGAGGCGTGACAGCCAGAGACTCGCGTGTTCGCTCGGGGCGTCCCGTGACAGGATTGGGGGCCCCTGCAACCATTCGCCCCAACGGACGCGGCACGGTTGGGTCTTGTCCATGCAGCCGGGCGCCCAGCTGGTTTGCGAAGAAGGAAGGCCCTGGCTCATCGAAGGTGCTCGCAGGCTTTAGGCTTGAGAGGAGTAGCTGCGTTTGTGCGCCTTTTCGACGTTGGGGTGCCATTTGAAGCTGGGCAAAGCACCGGGCAACAGACTCGTCTGGGCACCAAGAAAGCGCCCCATCTCGTGCGCTTCCCGCCTGAACGGCGCAGCCATGGCCGCGCGGGACTACTCAGAGAGCAGGTATGTTCACCTGGCCATCAATGGCCTCAGCGGCTTGCTCGGACTTCTCGATGTGAAAGCCAGCATTTCGGTCTTCGAGTGCCCCGGTGTGCATTCCATGCATTCCTGAGCAGCCTCAGCGTCCATCCACTGCTTGACCTAGCTTTCTGTGAGGCTCCGCAGCAAGGTGGAGGACCTCCTGAAGATTCCAATGAAGGAGCAGCAGCTGCTCCTGGGGGCATCGCCTCTTTCGGACACGGCCACACTGGATGACGCCCTCGGGCTCAACAAGCAAACCCATCAGGCACCCTGCACCATCCTGCACCGCAGCAGGTCTACGTAGCTTCTGCCGCCTTGAGCAGGAGCCTTCGAAAGGCTGCACCGAGGTTACACTCGTCAGGGTGCAGAAGCCCGAAATCGAACAGGAAGGGTTGCTGGGAGCTTCTGTGGTAAGAGGGAGCCAGATATAAAAAAGCATCCTGCTTGCTTTTGCGCGAGGACTTTTCTCCTTGGTTAGACAGGGACGCGTGGAGCTGGCGCTGAGGAGTACACCACGTGCCCTTGGTGCTGCGCTTCGAATTCAGGTACAGTAGGGATGCGCAACCTCAGCTCGATCCAGAGGCAATCTCACAGTCTTCGTTTAAGTGCAAAGCGTATCCGATATCCAGTGCCCAGACAGAAGGCCTAGCTCAAGTCATTGGTTCCCTTTCTCACTCTCTGATCTCTGCGCGGTTGTTTTCCAGAAGCATCGCGAACAGCAAATTCATGCAGTTGCCCGACTGCCAAGTCGCCGTTTGTGTTCTCTGCGGCCTTCCCAGCTTTTCCAGGAAGTTGCGATTCTTTCCAAAGCTTTCCAGCAAAGGGTGTCTCGAAGCTAGAATGCTACTGTTGATCATTGCTTGGTTGGCAGCTGGAGAAGGGGAGCAGCTTGTCGATATCATTTGGTAGCGACGAAACGCCTCAGCAAGAGCGTTGAGGTGGACGCGGTCCATGGGCGAAATTTTAAACAGGTGCTTTGGCAGAGACCAGCCCTCGTAACTCTTGAAGCAGACCGGAGTCTCCAAATCGAATGACACCGCAGCCCGTCGGCACATCGAGTTTCATGCGTCGTCATGCAGATTTGGGACCTCCGTGTCAGCCGTCTGTAAGACTGCTCAGCACGTTTGGGCAGTGATCCAGTGCTGCTCCCCGTGCCTCAGCACTCCTCGTCAGCACCCTCTTCTAGACCAGGATGTGGGATGTGCTTTTGACGAGCTGATCACATTGCATATCATATACAATTAGTTGGACAATTGCGCCGATGCTTACAGTAGTTTGGCGCTTACGAGACCGGGCCAAGTCCATCAAGTCGGCAAAACTTGAGAATCTAGACCGGTAAGACTTCAATGATGCTAACTCAATCAGAGTCCTCCCGACATGTTACAGCATGACGAAGCAGTAGCTTAGCATGAGAAGCAAGTCAGACCTAACATTCGCATTGCCAAAACGACAATTAGATCTGTGCCTGGGCTGGCAACGAACGACTGCGCCCTGTGCTGCAAGAAAAGCGCGTTTGCACCGAAGAGCCTGTGCACATTGCGATGAGACCCTGTTGGCATCTTTGCTGGCATGCGGGTCGGCTCTTGGCCAAGGATCCTGCAACATGGCCGCTCTTGGCAGCGCTTCCGGAGCTGGTGCGGGGCTCTCCCCCAAGCACTTCTGACAGCTGCTGGTAGCGGAGAGTTCTCTTCTCATGGGAGGTGGAGGCCGCGTCGAAGCAGGGCCTGCGCCTGCTCGTCTACGCTGACTCGCAGGGGCATCGCATAGTTCCTCGGCTCGCTTTGACAAAGTTGGGCCTTGGAGCCCTGCGCAGCAGATCAGGTTTACCCCCATTTTCGTGGAGCCACGACTCTTGCCGCCGTGGCCTCGGCAGGGCCACGGCAGGGCCACGGCAGGCTTTGGCTGTCGGAGTAATGCTGGGCAGGCTTTCGTCTGCCGCCAGGTGTGTTCCTATGAGCATGCGGAGAGGCTGCTGTCTTTCCAGGTGCAAAGCATAGCTCGATGCGAGTTTGCAAATGGCATTCCCTTCAAGAAGTTTTCTATTGTGCCGTGGAAGCTTCCCGATGTCCCATGAAATCGCCACGTACCCATGCAAGGCATCTGTGGCAACTCAGGATTCCTGAGGGTAGATCTGATGCTTTTCTCACCCTCACCATGAGGCACGGCCATGAAGCCAGCAGACGGCAAACTAGCCGATCTCGACCTGCCAGTCTTTGCAGATGTGCCTGACAACTTCATTTTCCTTCGCATCCAACTCAGCTGCACCACTAGAAGCATGCGGGCTGCGGCTGTGCAGTAAGACTTCCTGCTGTCTCATCGCACACATCGCCCTTAGCATGGCCCGCATCTCTCCCCATTATCTCGACCCATCCCGCAGATGTTTGGCAGGCCAAGGCTGCGACTTCGCAGCAAGATGCGTTGGAGACGGCAGTGAAGGATCCGACGATCTCTCTCTCTCTCTCTCTCTCTCTCTCTCTGTGTCTTCCTCTCTCTCTCTCTCTCTCTCTCTCTCTGTCTTTTGACCGTTTTGGACCTCTGGCCATGCATATAGCAAGTTTAGGCTCTCACTTTTGCGGTACGAAGCATTCCCTAGAACTTGGTCCTTCGCAGGACTTGCGTTCCGAAGTCGATGCTAGACTGGAGCAGGAGCTGCCAGTCAGACTCTGCTCGAGTTTTCCCTAAGCTAGCAACAGTGAGGAAGGAGTTTCAGAGTACTCAGAGATAGTGGTCCTATAATGCATGTCGCATGCAGAATTCCCAATGCCACGAGAGACGCAATCTGGCATGAGCTTCCAGTTTAAGGGGTAGGTGTGTGTACCTGTGCGTGTGGGGGTTTGCTGATGACTACATCAGGTTTTCGGAGCTTTTGCGTCCCACCGACCTATGCGGAGGCAACACGAGCTTCAGCCCGTCGCTGCGCAGCTATTGAGGATTCGTTGGAGGCACAAATCGGGCAAGTCGTGTGCTTGTGGAGCTGGGAGTGGGCTTGCAGCGGTCTCTTCCTCGGTATCCTGCGTGCAACCTGAAATGCACTACAGCGCGGCGCACCCTCTTTCACGATTTCACGGTTCGTTTCATCCCATTCCAAACGCGTGCACTCTGCAGGCCCTCCGCGTTTCATCAGCTGCCCAGACCAGTGCACTGCGGTCGGAGCTGTCTGCCGCAGTGGACGCCCTTGCCACTGCAGGTGCGGCCTCGAAGTCGTTTGCTTGAACGAACATGTTCCGCTTGGGAGGACCCATGGAGGCGGTTACGGTGATGCAGGCACATGGTGGAGCCCAGCTCGAGGCTCGAAGCTGAAATGCGGTGTCTCTGAGCGTGTGACTGTAAGCTTGAAACCTCAAGCCTGGATAAGCCTGGCATGTGCAGTCTGTTCGTGGCAGTCTCGCTTCGCGTTGCTCGAGCAGCAGCTCGAGACCTTGAAAGGCCGTGCGGGCTTGTTGATGCTTCTGTTGAAGGAAGATTTTGCTGTGGCTCTGCAAACCGAGTTTTGTGTGCAACCTGCGAGTTTCTGCAGCCACATCTGGCATGCGAGCCAACTCGCCCCAGCGGGCCTCGGCCCTAGCAAGCAGTCAGAGATGATGTCCGAAACGAAAGTCCGACCACTCAGCTGAGGCTGACCGAAAGGTGGAGGCTGTTGAACAGAAAATCTCGCAGTTGGAGGCTTTCAGTTCCGCAATGTTCCGGCGCCTCGACTAACAAGCCTTGCCAAGCAGCTTGACTTGACATGTGAGGCGAGGCTGAAAGATTACCGCAGCCAGACTTCAGTGCGAGTCCTGGGAAAAGCATCATGCACAACGCCCTTCTCATCTCGCGACAGCTCTGCTAATTTGACATTCTCCGGGCATTCGTACCGAGACATTTGCTCACGAGCAACCTGCTTGTGCTGTGTACGTCCTCCTGCTCCTCTTGCTTCTCCTACTGATCATCATGATCATCCTTACCGTCAGCCATCATCATCATCATCATCAGCATCATCATCATCATCGTCATCATCGTCATCGTCATCGTCAGAGTGATCGTGATCGTTATCGTCGTCGTCGTCGTCGTCGTCACCGAGATCATCATTGTCGTCATCATCATCGTTATCACTATCACCATCACCACCACGCTCATCATCATTATCATCATCATCATCACCATGATCGTCATCATCGTCGCCATCATCATTGCCATGATCGTCGTCACCATCATCATCATCATCACCATCATCATCATCGTCATCGTTGTCATCGTAATTGTGATCGTGATGGTCATCGTCATCGTCATCGTCGTCATCATCATCATGATGATCATCATCTTCACCACCACCACCATCATCATNNAGCATCATCGTCACCATCACCATCACAATGATTATCAGCAGCACCATCACCATCACCTTCGCAACCATCATCATCCAGGTATATCCAGGTCCTCATCACGATCATCACCAACCATCATGAATAAATCTCGGCCCCACGACGACATCATCTGCATCGCATGCCTGATAGCTCTTCCAAGGACCAGGTGCATGAGCTGAAGAGCNNCCCCCCCCCCCCCCCCCGCCGGCCCCACCATGCACAAGATAATCCTCGAACTACCGCTTGAGGGGTGCACTGCTTTCTTTGCTGCATCAGGTTTGGGAATTTTGCAGACTGTGCTTCAGCATCTCAATGTGTAGGTCGAGCACTTAACAATCCGTACTTTTTTTTTACGACGCTTCAGCGGCTCTGCCTTGTAGGCCCTATAGGCTTGATCTTGTGGGCTACGGTCATTATGTCACCGATGCTTGCAGTTGTCGGTGTAGCTGTGTTAAAGCCATGTCAGCAGTTGTTGACTGGCAGAGAAGCATCCCGAAGAAAGCCCGGCCACCAGCATTGGACACATGGGGTTTCGCACATCGTTGCAGACCAGACCGTCAGGTGATGGCCCAGATGGAGGCAGCAGTGCTCTTCTTTGCCAGTCGATGAAGAGCAGATGCTAGATTCTCGCCAAGCTTTCGCAAGTCATGAAAAAAGAAGTCTTAGCAACTTGCGCTGGTTTGACAGGACCTCCGAGATCAAAACTCCGAAGCGCTTCGAACAGCCGCTGCCAACATCGCGACCCTGGAGGCCGGCTCCGGAGCGCCGGGCACGCCAGGGTTCCTTAAAGAGGCCTCTTCGGTGTCTTTGAATCTCCCATTCAGCCCTTGGCGCTCGACACATACCTTGTCGACAGTTTGGATAAGAAAAAGGAGATGTCTGGGCCAGCTGCCTTGGGCAACAATACCGTTGGTAACATGTGATGTTGCTGGCCACAACAGCTGTCTTTCTGAGTCTGACAAGCAATTTGTACCCAGGGAAGTCTGTCCGGGCGCAGGCGAGTCTCGTGTTTCACGACTGATGAGCTTCGCTCTGACAGCACGAGACCGTCCCTGCTTAGCCCCACCCAGGATAGCAAAGCATTTTTCAACTCATCTGCCTGCTCCAAGGGATCCGTCGACTCTTGGCGACAGCGGATGGACCGTGCACTCAAAGAGCGGGGCACTGAGAGGCAGTTTTCTATCCGGAACCGGGGCATGCTGCCCTTCGGCCGAGCGGCTTGCTGTTTGGGGGTGCCTTTGAAACTCATGCTCGCAGCTTGCAACTCACTTCTTGGGTCTGTGCTGCACTCTTGAGCTTCCCCAAGAGCTTGTTCAAGAACTCAGGACAGAGCAACGGCTGTCGCAAGAGGCTTGTGTGTGTGTGTGTGTTTTTGTTTGCTGCTTGCTTTCCGGTGATTGCACGGATCGTTACGAGACTGACGCGGTTCAATGCTAGTCAGTGGTAAAGGCATTCGAAGCTAGAGCCGCTTGATACACGTACAAGCGGCACATGCCGCTTCACTGCACGCCATAGCTTTGAGCGCTCTGCACCGGTCAATCTTTCAGGTCGAGAAGCGTTTACAACCCGTGCAGGACGTTCTGCAGCAGGTGACTTTGCAGTGTCATGGAAAATGTGAGCTGCAGTTCGAGGACCGCGTCGTGCAAGACATCAAGGGTGTCACAGGTGCTCTTGCTGCCGAGGCAGGGCTGCAAGAGGGGTTCCTCGGAATCACACGATAACACTGCCGATACGCCTAGTTGACAGATTGCCCGTAATTACGATCTTACCGACCTTGATCTTCCTCTTCATTTTTTTGCTGACGGTCCTTGAGCTGGCAGGCCGAGAGCTTGCGTGGCAAGATGGAGCAGCGAATCGCGGATGAGTTCCGGCAGTTGCGTCCTCGGACGCCTGAGCTGAAATTGCAACGTGGCACCTTTGGTGAAGCACATGTCTCAGGATCTCTGGACAGATCCAGTCTGTTCACAGCACTGCTCTGCAGAACCATGAGTCCATGGGCAACAATGCCCTCGCCTAAGCTTAGGGAGGGAGCCCGAGCCTCGAAGCCTCGAAGCCTCTGACTCAGGTCTCAGGTCTACTGCAGCGCCTCGGTGCCGCCGAGATATCGATGGCCGAAGAGCAGGGCAAGCGAGAGCTGATGAAGAGGTGACGTCCTGTGCGCCCGAGTGGCAATCCCCAGCCACAGAGCCTTTCGGAAAGTTCCTCATTGAAGTGGTCTCTGGGGCATAGCAGGCTTCTAAAGGCAGAGGTCCAGTTGAGCAGAGGTTATACAAAGAAGCCGTGTAACACAAGTGGACGATTTACGATGTCTGCGAGGCATCTGGAGGAGCGGCTGGACCAGGCAAGGGAGCAGGCGACCGTCAAAGTCTCTCTGAGCTTCGATTCGTAGGTCGCAAACAGCCGCACGCAGCATCGGCCGAGTGTGAGCCCCAGGCAAAGGGGAGTTGGCTTGGCGTAGCTGCCATGCAGCTGCGATGCGCTGTGCAGCTAGGAGTCTCTGCTTTGCCGAGGCGAGGAGGCGCGAGAAGGCCACAACCGCATTTTTTCATTGCGTGGCCTTCTCGCGTATTTGTACGTCACTTGGCAGGCGCCGAACCAGGCTCGCCCAGGAGCCAGTGTTTCGGTCAAAGGGGCTCATCTTACGACCCTGCTCTGCGTTTACCGGTCTAGTTGAAGGGGCAGTGTGCAACACAGCTGTGCGAGTCTGCAGGACTCGCGAAACTGCACGCGTAGCGGTGCAACTGGAGGTGCATGCTCCTGCTTGGGCTCGGGTGCTCCAGCATGAAGACAACTCTAGCTCCGAGGAGAAGGCTTCTGGCCGGTTTCACACGCAGCTACCGAGCAAATGTCAAATCGAACTTGATAAAATGGAGTCTTGCGGAGTCGCTTGTGTTCCTCGAAGCTGGGAGGTTCACGACAAGGAGATGAAGCGGTTGGCAAAAGAGTTTCAGAGCCAGGCAAAGATCCTGGACCGCCCGCGCCCCAGCTCGGGGTTGTGTTGGCTGCCGGTCTGATCAGGCTTCCAGTAGAAATAGCCATTTTGAGCAGTGGCCTCGCCCGAGTCACCGAGGGCTCGTAATGTAGACGAACCCCCGTGTGCATAGACGAGGCCTCTCTGAGCAGCAACGTCGCCTGGCGCAGGAGCAGGCGGGCAGACTAGGCCTCTCAGAAAAGTCGCTCTGAAGATCCGTCGAACGTTGGCAGTTCAATCACGCGTCACCACAGCAGCGCTGCAGCAAAGCTTAGACAAGGGGCTGGGTCGTGCATTTGCAGATTCGCTACGTCTTCATGATTGCTGAACGCGAAAGAAGTGGTCGCTTAGAGACCGAAAGGCCACCGACGTCTCGCGCCACGAGTCCTCTCGCCTCGAGGCATGCTGCATTGGTTCTGCCACGGGGTTTCCTAGCCATGGCTTCATGTTTTTGTATTTCTAGAGGCCCGGTTGCGACATGATACTGGGGCTTCGGCAGCGCCGAAAGTGTTAAAGACATGGTAATGGTGGCACGACTTGACTTGCTGTTGTGTCGGGTGAAGCTGCAACGACCGTATCCACGATGCCCCTCCTGGACCGTCTGTTTGAGCAAGGACGATGAGGGCCCTGTGGCTTGTTCTTGATCTAGCTTTGCGGTGTACTTAAACTGTTTAGTATCAGTGTTCAACCTGTCCCAGATTCGTTGCTAAAGTGCTCAAATAGCGTCAGGCTGTTTTTTTCTCGATTGCGTTCTCGCGCTGTGTTGTCATCAGGAGCGGAAGGGCACCGAGAAGTCCGAAAAGCGGTTGAAGGCCCGCATTATCGGCTGTCGAACTCCTGCATGCTTACGTCAAAAAGGAAATCCCGCAGTCTTGGTGAGCCAGCTTGCGCTATGAGTGAGACTTGAGACTCTTCCTAGATGCTCACAACATGGCTTGGAGAGCATCGAAGATTCAGAGTGGTCCGCGCAGGCACGTCTGGAAGAGCTGTGGCCTCAGCGACAGAAACCCTAAACCAGGGCAAAGTGTTGCGGCTGTCCACCCTGGCCTGGGGAGATCTGAGAAACCCATTCTGCGGAGGCCGGGTGTTTGGTTCTGGGTCCGGATTTTCGTAAGATGTGAACATTGTGCAAACATGCTCTCGAGACATCGAGGGGCTTATATCCAAAGCAAAGCACCATGCATGTTGAAGTTGAAATACCATCGGAACGAAGACCTCCTGGCAACTTGAGAAACCATATTTCAAGAAAAAGAAACCGTCCAACCCCAAACGCGAGGCATCTCGCGCAATAAGCAACCGGATAGTTCAGAAGGCTCAGAAGTGTTTAGTGGTTACCTCAACAACATAACTACACAATTCGAAAGAAGCCTGATTGACAACACTCTTCGATTCTTTTGTTCCCGGAAAGAGACCGCGTCGCATGTCTTGCATAAAATCTGAGGTTGGAGGCTCGCTTGGAGATAATGCAGCCAGTGCCACAGAAGGGGCTTAGGGTTGAGGTGTGGAACGGAACTTTTTTGGGATCATGTGCAGCGGAAAACGGCGTGGACGGCTGAAAAGGGTTCTTTGACACGGCGCCGCTTGGAATTGATTCTTCTGGGGGTCCCTCATGTGAGCAGCCGCCTTGCAATGTGAAGCCTCATGCCTTGGCATTGCTTAAGGTCTGGTTCGCCCAAAGCGATCGCACGGTCCGAAACCCTGGAAGAAGCAAAGCCACCAGAAACGTGCTTTTGGCGACTCTCGCGTTGCGCAGCCGTCTTTCGAGTGTTGATCGGCTCTAGCGACCGCTGAGCAATGGTTCTTACAGTGACTGACTTGGCTGCGAAGGGGAACGGAGGGCTGGGAGGGGATGGAGACACCAGAATCTCCGCATCTTTTGTAGACTGGTTGTTAGATCTGGTACGTGAGGCTACTTCTGCTTCCGTGATTCTCGAGATGTTGGTGGGCAGTTTGCAACCGCTGTTGAACCTCCTTCTGGTGCCAGTAGCAGTCATCTCGCTAATTGCATATGCTGGAGGCAAGGCACTGCTGCGGAAGACCCTTCCCTTCGGAGCAGCTGTCTCGACATGTGTTCTTCTGAAGGCGATGGGCGAGGGCTTTGGGCCTCCATGGAGCAGCTTCCAACCCAGCAGCGCAATTGTGGTGGTAGTGCTACTAATGGAGCCTGGCATCACAGTCGAGCGCTTGCTCTTGAGAGCTTCGGAGCGTGTTGTGGGCACCTGCATGGGTTGCGGGCTGGCAGTGAGCATGGCCCTTCTTATGGATATCTTGGGCAAGGAGCCCCTCCAAATCTGCAGCTTCTGCTTCGCATCCTTTACTCTCTTCGGCGCGGTGCAGGCTCATCATGGTGTTATCCCATTTGTGTTCTCGGTGATGTGCATTGCATGTGCTGTTGTGATATTTGGCTACATGACAACTGGCTGGGCGTTCATTCGCAGCCAAGTTGCATCTGTCCTGGTCGGTGAGATTGTGTCCTTGTCGTCGTCTTTGCTTTTCGAAGGTTTGTTGGGAGATGCGGCAAGTTCACGCTCTCACGCCCACGTTGTGGAAATCGCAAAGGAAATGGTGGACAAAGCTTTTGTGGCCATCGAGTTGGTGTTTGTTCACAATGAAGCCGCTGCCTTGCGTGCCGCAGGTAGCAGTCCGGCCCGTCAATTTCGGGCTCTGGGCCGCCGGCGCACATTCAGCCCCGGCGTTCTGGAGCTGCTTGCCCACGAAGGACCGGAAGGTCATGGACGCGCTGACGAGCTTGGCTGGTTGGAGAGCCAAGAGGCTGGGCTGGAGACGCGCTCCAGAGCCTGCCTGGCTGACATGGCGGCTGTCGAGAAGCTGTGGGGATGTCTCGGCTTCGGCAAGAGCAGCATTGGTGTTTCCCATTACAGCGCCGTGGTTCGTCAAGTGCACTTTCTGTTCCTGCAAGCCTGTACACTTGCACGCAATGCCCCTCTGAATTCAGAAGTGCGTGGAGAGGTGAGGCAAACCTTGGACGATGTGCGCTTCAACATGCTGGCAATGTGTCAGCCCTTGAAGACATTCTTGGACGGACTCAACGCTGTCGCTCGGGTTGCGAAGTTCGAGGCAGAGATGTTGCGTATGTGTGACATCGTGCAAGAGGTGCACACGAAGCTGGAGTCAGTATGGACGGTCTGTAAGCAGCAGTGGCAATCTTCATGCCAGAGCTCGACGGTCTCGACTGCCAAACGAATTCAGTCAGCGGTACAGCTGGCAAAGCAGAAGCGCTCGGCATCCGCCTTTTGCCAAGGGTTGGACTCCATGCTTGCAGCTGCTGTGAACTTGGTGCGAGAGCACATTCACATCGGCTACCCCAAAGCCACTGATGCTGGTGCAGTTAACATCCTTCACCAACGCTTGGAGGACATGGCAGGCCTGCCACCTGTCTGCCAGCAGGTCGACTAGGATGACGAGGAGGCTCCTGCTACTTGCAGGCTTAGTAGATCGCTTCCCGGGTGCCCAATGGTGCAGTTGCTCAGACCACGAGGAAGAATGCAATCAAAAAGGGAAAATCAGGCTTCTTGCACAATGCAACAGACCAGCCAATGGATACTGCAGAGCTTTTCTGGTCCTTCAGAAGCTTGAGGCTAGAAAGCCATCGCTTTGACAAGGTTCCGGAGGCCCGGTGCATCGCATCTAGCCGAGTGGCACGGCACAGTTCTGCCCCTTTGGTTTTGCTCGCAGGCAAGCATAGCAGATGTGGTTCGAAGCCTGGAGGAGACCGGTTGCGAAGCCGGCGACAGCACTGTGCGCTTCAGAACTGTCGGGGATGTTCGGGGTCACAACGTTGCAGATTGGAATGGAACCTACTCTCCGCCACAGGAGCAGAGGGCAGTTCTAGCAGAACACGATGCGAGGTGCTGCTTCACTTATGCTCCCGCAGCCTTCTCGCAAGTGGGTAGTGGGCGTGTGCTGGCGATAGCTCTGCTGGGACACACTGCTAAATCTCGAACAAACATCACATTGGGCAGGCAGCAGAACGCACAGAAGCTCTTCAGTCAGCTGGAGAAGTCTGCCCAGGACTTGCAACAATACCAGTTTCAAGCATGATCCAATGGAAGCTTCCTGAGGCTCCTGTAGAAACTGGTAACAGCCTTCCTCCTGTGGTCGGAGCTGAAGGATGTCCAGCCCCTCCTACAGAGGAAGCTTGCGGACCATGATGCAAGGCAAGTTGAGGGACTTGAGTTTGCACTCATTGCCAGTTCTCGGGAATCTTTCCGACAAGGAACCGACTCATGAGTCTGACACGAAGTGTAATTCCCCAGCTTCTCGTTGGGCAACGTGTGCAGCACACAGCGACCTCCTGCCACCCGAATCGCCCCCTCTGACCTCCACCTCCAACACCGTGCTTGAAGGCTGGAGCAGCAAGGTCAAGAAGCAGCGCAGTTGGGCCGCCTGCACAAAGAGTTGAAGACCCAACTGGAATCGCAGAAGGACTGGTTTCTTCGAAAGCACTAGCGGTAGCGACAAGTGTGCAGAGGCCACAAGCGAACAGCAGCCAAATCTCGCACCATCCGGGTCTCAGGCCTTTTGCTCCGTCGGAGTGTGGTGCTTTCCACCCGATGTAGCAAGTGCTGTTGGTTTCAGAGGAGCGAATGCAGGAAGCTTGAACGTGAAAGTTTATGGAGTTTCGCGTGAACTTTCTGTATGTCTTGCGGGATGAGCAAGGAGGTCACACATTGAATAACGCAGTGGGACGTTCCGTGCCTCGCAGCTAGTGCGACAAGTGACATGCAGCTGGAGTCTTGCAGGACGTGTTGGAGATCAGATGCTTGGAAAGGCTTGAGGCCCAAGGCAAGCGAATGGAAGAGGCTCGTCAGAGGATATACTGCTATGATTGTGGCGCTGCATGTTTGTGTAAAGCTGCAATCCAGGGAGATCTTCTGGCAGGTCAGCCATCGTCTTGAGCAGCTGGAGGACACGTCCCGCAGCACAGTGCATCAGGTCAAGCAGGCAGATGTGCGGCTTCAAGCATCACCATGGATTCTTGTGACGTTGGCATGTCGATTGGTCTGGTTGCTCTGCATTTCCGCCCTTGCTGCGGCTGCTGGCTGTTGCTTTGCTGGCTTCTTGCTTTGAGCTGTCGTTGTTTGTACTCTTGCTGTTATGGTTTTGTTTTTCGTCTGCTCCTGCTCTTATTCTCCTTCTTGAGGTACTGGCGGATTCAGTGGTCGTGGTGGTGGTGGTGGTGCTGGTGCCGGTGCCGGTGCCCGTTGGTAACAATGGTGGTGGTGGTGGTGGTGGTGTTGGTGGTGGTGGTGGTGGTGGGGTGGTAGTGGTAGTGGTGGTGGTGGTGGTGGTGGTGGTGTCGGCGGCTGTGGTAGTGGCTGAGGTTGCGCTTGCTACTGGTAGTTTTGTTTGCGTGCGTGCTTCTGTGTGCATGCCACCGTGTGCATGTCCGTCTGGTTACGGGTGAGGGGGTGTTCGTGTGTCGGTTGCTTGGTTGTGTATGCGAAAGCTTGCTCCGTGGGTTTGCTGCTACTAAGTATCGTCTGCTTTGTCGTATTGTGCTGGCAGCTCTAGCAGATGTGTTTAGTGCATGGTTCGCATGGTGGCTTTCGTTGTGGTGGTGTTGCTAGTGGTGACGGTTTTGCAGCAGCAACATTAACCGAAGCGCCAACAGCGGCAGTCGCAGATACTACTGCTGCTGCTGCTGCTGCTACTACTACTACTACTACTACGACTACTACTACTACTACTACGACGACGACGACTGCGACTGCGACTACGACTACTACCACTACCACTACCACCACCACCACTACTACTACTCCCACTACTACTACTACTAC